GAAATAAAAATAAAAGCATCTGAAGAATGGATCTGCAGTCAAACCACTGCTTGCTGACACCACCGGTACTGCGTCAGCTGCTGAGGCTGAGGTTAAGGTAACAACTCAACCATCCCAGACAACCAACAACTAGATCTCCACTGTGGCCTAGTATGAAAGAAGAAAATTATTGAGTAGGGCAACTCGGCAAAAATCTTACATATTCCTGCTTTAGACAACATCTTCTCTATGGCAACAAAGTGCAAAGTTATTTCAGACTCTTAATTTCCTTTTTCCTTCATGAATAGGCGTACCTGTACCTGTTACAAAGGAGGTGGATATTTAAAGCCTCAAACTCATGGCCAAATAGATGAAACAAACATAACTACTATACTTCAGACCTAACAAGTGAGTCAGCAGTCAGATTCTATTTCCCCTGCTGAAGTCAGAAAACAAATTAAGCTGACAGCATGCCTCTAATGGTGATGACATCATTGAGACTGGAGTTATTTTCAGTCTCCACAGCACTGGTAGAGGAGAAGCATAAAAGAAAGAAAGAGAAGCTTAACTTTTTCTCATGCCTACTCCTAATATATGTGCTTTGCACCCACTCCTTCAAATTAGGTATTTTTTGGAGCTGTCATTCCATGCTTAAAAGTATATATGCATTTTTCAAAGGCTTGTAACCGAATAAAACTTTTTATTTCTTTCTTTGGGGAGCACCCATACATAAGGTTCACAGCAATTTTAGCCTTGTACTAAGTGAGAACAAGTCCTCCAAATACTTTAGAATTGCACGTAAACAAAACAGGGAAGAGTTTAAACCAGTTGCCAAAATGTTCAAAAGTGACCTTATATGGAGTCTGTCAGTCTTCAGAAGCTCAACCTGAGAGCCCCAGAGAACAGTACAGAATGTGGCTCAAAAATATCTCTCTCTCAAGTGCACTCCTTACTTCTAAAGTGGAGGTGGAAAAGCTTTTGCTTTTTGACAGTACAAAAGCTGTGCTTTGAAGAGTTTTCTAACTTGGAAAAAATACACTTTCTGGGACAGTGGCTGAGAGACACTATTAAGGTGGATACAAGAAGACTCAAGGGGATTTGGGGAAGAGCAGGGCTTTCTCCATGAGAAGCCTGTATCGCAGAGTAACATAAAAAATACATGAGGCTGCGAAGTAGTAGGACAGAAGATGCAGAAGGATATGGAACCATGAACAAGGTAAAGGGTAAAATAAGAAAAGTGAAATAAGCCAGGATAGAGTTCAGCTGAGGCACGAAGCTGAACCTGAGTAAGAAGCAGAAAGAAGTGAAGGTGTGGAAATGTCAAAAGAGATGGGAGGAGCAGTCTGGTTTTGTTGGTGAGTTTTGAGACATGAGGTGATGAAACCGTTGCAGCAACGGGACTGCAGCTCCTGGCAATGGCAAAAGACGGGAAATGCTGAATTGCAAATCCGCAGCTCCTGAAGGTACACGATTTAATGAGAAGCTGATGACTTGACAGGGAGGATTACAGAGGTCCCTTGCATGGCAAGTGGGAAGTTATTAAGAGAAAGGGTTTAGGTGTGAAAAAGGGAAGCAAAGTTTTGGACGTACCACATGCAGTGTGGAGATAGGTACAAATAAAGATGATTGAGCAGGAGAGAGTAGATGTGGAAGTGAGGAAATAGATGTACACAAGGTGGGTGAGCACCTCAGATCTGCTGGATGTATTGCAGGGAGAGGAGACAACCTGCTTTTTCTGCCAAATGCCAGCCTGGAGCTGTGTGAGAAGGATGAATACCTTGAAAGAAACACAAGAATGCAGCTAAGAGAATGAGGTCTGTCTTCAGAAGATAAAATGGAGAAGAAGAAATGTACACAGGATTAAGAGAACAGAGAAAAGGCAGTCAGAACTGGCTGGAAGGAAATTAGTGACAGATTTCCTGCTTGTCTCCAAGGAAAAATAAACCCAGTGTGGAATGTAACCCTTTAAACAAGAGCGTTGGTGTGTCACTAATGTAAAAGGGGTTTCTGTGGACTAAAGTGGACAAATTTTGCAATATGTATGAGTGGTACTTTAAGATGCTCATAAAGGATCTCTTTGTCCTGAGAACTATTAAAGCAAAAAAAATCTGTAGCAATGAAATTAATAATTAAAGAATCCTTGCAACAGACAGATTCAGCACTCTCTGGAGATGGCCATCTTATTGCAATTTACACTCTCTCTTAGCCAACGTCATTAGTAGTGGTTCTAGAAAGCACAAAGGAATGAGACACTGAAATACTGCAGGAACACTGTCAACACTGATCAAAGCCCTCATCGTAGCTTTTGTTCAACTAGGGCAAGCAGCTCGTTTGTGCGCAGCAGAGGAGTATTCATCCTGGTGAAGCAGGCAAAATAACATCATTTCTTCCTGAAAATTGTTATTTTTAAAATAGCTTATTTGAAGTCAGACAAAGTTTCAGTTTTGCTGAAAGTGAATCAGTAGAGGAGGAATATAATCCTGACAACTCGTTTAATCCTGTCTAATGTCTGTGGTGATGTATTAATTCGTAGGCCCACTCATGAGATGAAAATTTTCTTCTCACTGCAAACGTTTAGCTGAAACTATTGGAAATTTTATCATGCTGTAATGGATTTAATAAGACACCAAATGGTTGGTTGTTTCATTAATCTTGTATCAAGTGACTCTAAAAAAGAAAGTATTGGCAGATTTCTGTAGTTGCTTAAAGCCTCTCTATAGCTTATCACTGTTAACACATCAGCCTTTCCAATTCCTGTGATTCACTAAAGATTGACACAAAAAGTCTTATATACTGTTAACCGGCTATTTGTTTACAAGACAAAACAGCTCCTTATACGCTCTTTAGAATTGTTTTGCTCTTTTTACTCTTCCCTGTTTAAAGAGCCATCTCCCGTTCCCAGCCCTCCCTTTTCGTTTCCTCCTGCATGTTACGTTACCTTCCTTTTCACTTACTGGAGAATGACCAACAAACGAAAAATCTTCCACAACCTCCCCTCCTCCACCTACAGTATCTTGCCCAATCTAGCAGTAACTCAAGACCGTACCACTTCTTAGTTTAACCACACCATAGCCCAGAAGCTTTCACAGGTCAGACAGCACAGACTTTGCCATTTCTGACTCACCTGTCACATATATACCTTTTTGCAACACTAAAGCTCCAAATAAGGGAACACGTTTTAACACAGCCTTCAGCTGCTCTGCAGTACTGGATAAATGTTACTGCCTCCTCATCTCGCTGCTCCTTTTGGCAAGGTTTTGACTGTGGAGTAAGGCCTTGAGGATGTCCTTGCTGCATCAGATAGGGCAAAATGGGTCGACACAGCAGGCACAGAGTGGGGTATCCACGAAGGGGACAGGGTTGTTTCAGCTAATGTGCTTCTCACTGCTCCTTCCAGATAATGAGCTGGCTTTCATCACATTCATGCCTCCCCTTCAGTAAGTGCTGGCTTTGGGTGATGGAAATAATGAGTACTCAGTGGGGGGCTGTGCCATCGCATGGTCCTGGAATGATTGCTGGGGATCTAAAATATCCATAATCAGAGTAGGTACTTGTCCTTTTCACCAGTAAATCACCCATGGGACACAAGGAAGGGTGCCAGAATGCTTTGGAGTTTGCCAACCACCAGCTTATACTGAGTGGTGAAGAAACACTTCAGGGTAAGTCAACCATCAGTGAAGTTCCTTTTTCACATAAGTCATATATCAACAATACATTGGAGTGTGAATCGGTTACATACCCAACTTAGGAGGGGACCAGGGCTCATGGCAAGAATGCCCCAACTGCAGTGGAACAGTGAACATCATAAAGGAGAAAATGCTATATATCGCCTGCTGTACACCATGCACAACTGCAATCCCTTGTGATTTACATTTGATGGTGGTGCTACAGGTTTTATTCATCACAGGAGAAAATGTACAGACATGATAGCTGGACACAAAGCTGCCCCCCACCCCCCGAAAGGCACTGCTTGATTCTCTACAGGGGAAAAGGCATGGCACAAATGTGAGATGCTGGTGGAAGAGAGAGTGAACTGTCTTGACAGAACACATGGATCTTTCAAACCAGTAGCTCTAGCAAATTATATTTTTAGGTCTGATCACTTCAGCACCAGGTATTTCTGAAAAGATCAGCAGACTGCTGGGAAGGAGGATCAGGTGTTGTCAAGCCGGATAAAGGACAGCTGTTAGCTCAGTCAGGAGAATCCTGTTGAGGGTAATTAAGGGTCAAGAAAAGAAAGTAAAGCTTTCTAGATATAAAAGGGATTCTTGGCTGAGAGACATTGGGTAATTTATAAGAGGAAGTGAAGAGTAAGAGAGGATTTGGTGGGTAGCTGTTGAAGATACCAGAGGATGGGGGAGGACGTTAAAACTATTTAATTGGGAGAGCATAAAATCAGGAAATTAAGGTAGAAAAGTTAGATCCAAAAAAATCTAGACAAACTTGGCTTTGCTTGTCAGTAGACTCCTTAAATCAGGCCTAATCTGGTAACAGTAATAGAAAGGTATGTGACCCTTAAATTCCTAGGTCTGGGGGAGGAGACAGGTAGGACACATAATGTTGTGGCCTCCTCTAGACCTGTTTTATAGCAGTGACTTGTGAAGCTGACAAGTTTGTTATTGCTATGGTATCTTGTATAATATAATATCATATCATATTTTACCTCTATCACCTTTGTATATTTTTTTTCAATCTTTTTTGTAAACAGCTAGCTTGTGTCACATTTAACTCAGGAGAACCCTGACCCTCAGAGACTGATCCTTGTTCATACTCTACCATTTCCTTTTTGTCTCAAAATATCACAACCTAAAATTCTGATCTGTTTCAGAATGTTCCACTGTAATGGGCTGGTAACTTGTATTCAGTATTTGATAGCAGGTATCCATGTAAGATTTCAAAGCTCAGCGAAAGGTTTCTCATACTTCAGGGTGAAAAGGATAAGCTTTGTCATTCAGAAGATAAATCTGAGCTGTCTATATGTACCGAAACACTAAAATGAGAACATATGTTGGAGACAGGTATGCTGTAATGAGACTGTATTTTATTGAATTCCAGATTTCCACTCAGGATGTAGAAACCACAGTCACAATATTTCCTGATAGTATAGTGACCACAGATAAAACTCAACGCAGTAATACCATCAAACCTGATCCATTATGCTTTACTCTTTCAGTGCAATTTTATATAAACATACATACATCCAGAAAAGCTAGTTTTAAGCAGTGAGTCAGACACCGTATCTCTAACATACATACAAGTATTCTTATTGTCATTATTGAGCCTTCTACTATACTTGCAGGATCAGGACTTCAAAGAAGAGCCTGATAGAGGAAATTGTAGGAAATGTTTGCATTCCTGTATAATTCCATCACACAGGCGCCTGTAATGGTGAAAGCACTCTTCAGCAGATGTTGTTTGAAAGGTCAGGTTAAGTCTTAACACACAATAGACATTCATTTCAGTTATTCCTTTTTTAATTACCGATTATAACTCTCTTTAACCCTGGTTCGTAGAGCCAACCCTCCTGGTGTCTCTGCTCTGACAATTCACACCAGCTGGAAACTTCTTGCAGGACTTTGTTGGTCTTCCCCTGGTCTTTGTCAGCTTTCCAAATATCAGTAAAACCATCCTTTCAATATCCCAATGAGGTTAAGGAGGTGTTCTTTACATTTACAACTAAAGCATGGAGCAAACATTTCTAATTAGCATTAAGGCTCCCTCAGTCTATTTTGGCAGCATGTATTTATACTCCTCCAATCAAGGCCCCTTCACACTTCTGAAAACATCATTAAGGAAGACTAAGTCTCCTTAATTGAATCTCATCTATATTAAGTGACTTACTAATTTACACAAATTAGTGATTTGCTAGCAATTGAATCCAGGTATCTTGAGAATAAGAGACTCTGTGTCTACTAGCTATACAAACTGTATTGATTTTCTTTTTAACTCCTTGGAGGTTTTTACCATGTAAATTTGGACAGTAACTTCTGTATATTTTCTTGTGCATTAAATTCAAATTACACACTTCAGTATTATGGTTGTAATACTTGAAACTGAATTTCACACTTTTGGAATGCATTTATTTTTTCATATTCTCTTCATTTTAATCCAGAAGATACTACTTTACAATTCACACCTAACACACTACTACACCTTCTAGATGAGTGTTCGATTGTGTTTTTTGTTGCCATAGTTTGCTTTGTTTTTCCCCCCCTTTCATTTTTATTTTAAAAATGCAAGTTCAAGCTTCCAAATATTTTTATAGCAATATTAGCAATCTAATCCTGTTTTATACTTATTTTTGGGGTATGTCTATGGTGATTTACCAACTCTGTCACAAATTCTGCCTTAATTGCAAAAAGTAGGTACTACTTCAAAGCTAGGCAAAGCATTAGACACCACCAACCATAAGCAAGCTTCCCCAATTTCTGCTACTCACACATCAAGACATCTTCTGTGGGGAAAGACAGTTAAGTCCTATTAAGTTGATGTCTTGCTTTCAAGAGGGTGACATTTTAGTGAGATTTATTAGAAGCGAGATCAAAAGATGGTGCAGCTTGTGAAGCCCACCTAATGCATATGATGAGAGGTTAGCAGGATTTTATACAGCACTGTCATTTCAGTGCCATATGCTGCCTTTTTCCTAATTAACATGATCATATTTTCTGGTGCAATGCACGTAAAACATCTGTGTGGATGAACATGATTGCAACCACTTATGCAAAGGTGAAATCAACCCCTGCAACCAAGTCTGGTGACAGACAGTTATTAGTGGTGACTACAGTCAAGTAGCGATGGCTGCGCCTGGAGGGAAAGAGGGTAAAAGGAAGGTCTGCTGCCACAGGTGAAAGCATGATCTTGCTTTGGCCTGAGACAAAAGAAATGAAAAATAGGAGCTGCTGTCTTGAGGCAAAGTATCTTCAGTGTCTTACCTCGCACTGGGAGGATGATCCAACTCTGATCTTAGCAGGATCTGAAAGTCAGAATCCCCCGCATCTCCCAGAGCTTAACTGATATGTTTCTTTTCCCGATGGAGACAATTTCCAGATGATTTTCTTGCCCTGAAGTCTGTTCTTGCATAGTAGCTCCTATTAAAAATCCAATGCTGCTTTCTCCTTTATAAAATTTAAATGTGTGGTGTGCTAATACTCAAACCCCTGAACAATAAAATGGCATACTTCTGTCTACCCTCTGTACTTCAGTGCCTGAGAAAAGGTCAGATTTCTGTTGTTTGCAGCCCTCTTATATGCTACTGCCTAAGATCTTTGCTCTTGTTTTTTTCTGGATTCATAGGATGCACACAGGGAAGGACAAAAGATGACCAACACACAAAATTTAGAGATGCTAACTGAAATGCGACACCCACTCTCCTTTTAAAAAGTTTTTAATTCAAACGTAATTTGGAATAGGTACTTAGACAGGAAAGGACTAGACAACTGTGAAAGGAAAAAGAGGAGACCGTGTAATTTTTTTTATTTAGAGGAAGGAAGTCTTATCATATAAAGAAGGATTGCTTGAACTTTGCTAAATGCAAGCTTAGGTTTAGGGGTTTTTTCCTGTTGCGGTTGCCACCTTTCAGCTGCTCAGGTTCTTCTCCCTAATAGCACGTCTCAGATATATGTACCTGACTGTGTAGTTGATGCAGGTACAAATGCATGAGCTTTGATAACATAAAGCAAATTATCCCTGTGAGGGAATAGAAACTGATGTTTCCTGAGGGATGGAAGGAAACATTTTTTTCATCATCGATTTTTACATGAACTCTATTATTTCATAAGAAGTCCTGATTTGTGTGTCAAACACATAACATACAACTGCTGTGAATATGAGTTTTCTATTCAACATTCCAGCAGCCAGTTTGAAATTTTCTGGTGCTGACCAGACTACAAAAAAATGTATTCCTTGCTATTAAGCATAAAAGGCTGCCAATCACTACTGAATTATCTGTTTTCTATTACCTTGTTCTAAATTTCATACCAGTAACTGGCTGGAGTTTTACAAACTGTCCCTGGTTTTGATAGCGGCAGTCCTGACCTCTCTTCAGCCTTTCACTCAAACTTTGATAGGGTTTGTTGGTGGGTTTTTTTTGAGGACAACAGAAGGTAAAAAGGGTAGGGTCAGTTTTGATGTAGATCTATTCCCCGGTCTTAACTCACCACGTGGCTGCACAAGCAATTGCACCACTTCAAAAGAGGCTGATGCAAGGGCCAGACCCAACAGCAGTGAGCATAGGGAAGGCACAGCTGCTTCTGGAAGTGGTAATGGCTTCAAGTGACCATTCAACTACGATCTTTTACTCCAGATATTTAAGTCTCTGTAGTTCCAGCTGAAGGCTGATTCATTATGAGCAACTGCCTATCCAGTCCTTTGTACCTCTTTGTAGATAGGTATTTATGCTTACGTGAATATAAAGTGGGATCAAAAATGCTACCAAGCAGAAACAGAAGTAGCCTGTGTTCATCACAGTGGTGTGTGCGTGCACGCACACACGCACATTTTTAACCACTAGCACTCTTGTCATTCTTCCCACCCCCAAAAATCTCCAAATATTTAAAGAATGTTAACTTTGATCAAGGATGGAACAAAGCACGTGACCTGTCAAAATCTATAAATGCTTCAGGACAGTGGGGGCTGTTGAAAACGAAGTGGCCTTCTCAAACACAGGTCTGAAAAATCTGGCTTCGTCAGCGAGACGTCTGACACCAGTACTCATCTTCAGTTGCTGGTCTAATGTTTCAAGGTTTCTTCTGCATCAGCCAAGCCATCTGACACTGCAAAAAGATGGGTGTTTATTACAGTGCTTAACATTTTAAGAGAACCACGCAAGACTGCATACATTTATGGGTCTCAATATATGTTTGTCAGCTGTTTGTGTACTATCAGCTGAGGATAAAAAGTAAAATAAGGGCTGTTTTCAGAACCTGTGGGGGTTTTTTGACAGCTTTATCTTCATGTCTCTTGGCCTGCAGAAGTATGACTTTCTCGCTTCGAGGCAACTCTTACTCATGCAGTCCAACCACTACTTCAATGATATTGCTATAAACCCAAATTCCTGCATCTTAATTCCTTTCCCTCTTTGCCTAATGATATGCTGCACAACACTACCTCTCACTCGCCTCCCAGCTCATCCATTTAGGCAAACAAACTTTTCGTCTCTCCCATTCCCCCCCAGTTCATCTGCCTGAGCAGCGGCAGCCCCGAGCCCCGGCCGGACATCCCAAAGGGTCTCTAGCCCCTTCCTGCTGGGGCCGGCCCGACTGAACCTCGCAGCGGCAGCGCTGAGGGGCAAACCCCGACACGGTCGCTTCGCAGAGAGAACGGCGCCTGGGCCGCTGCCGCCGCCCAACTCCGCGGGCCGGCCCGCCGCTGCCCCGGACAACCCTGGGCAAAGCGACCGAGGCCGGACAGCGACGAACCACGGACTGGTCTCACTCCGGGGAGGGGGGGGGGGGGGCGGGGGGGCCCAGCCCGGCCCGGCTGCCCGCCATCACCGAGCGCTTCTCCCGCCCGCCCGCCCGCTGGACAGGGGTGGCCGCGCCCGCGACTGACCCGGTCCTGCCCGGGCCTCCAGCAGCGCCGCGCTCCAGCCTCTCGCCCGCGGCTACACTCGGCACCGCCGTTCGCGGCCGCCGCCGCCTCCCGCTGCGGGCGGCGAGGGGCCGGGGCGGCGGGGGTCCCGCCCGGCCGCGGCGCGCGCAGGCGCCGTTGGCCCGGCAGGTACGGCCCGGGCGCCATGTTGTGAGCGGAAGCCGGGCCCGAGCGGCGGGCCGGGGGGGAGGGCGGAAGCGCGGCTCCGCCTGGCAGCGGGGAGGGGGGGGGAGGTGGGACGGACGGACGGACGGACGGACGGCGGCAGCGGCTGGCAGTCGCCGCAGGATCCACCGCCAGAGCTTAGCCGGGGCGTCCCGCGCCCTCCGGAGAGCTCGTTACCTGCCTCGCCGCCCGCCGGGGTGCGGGAGAAGCGGAGAGCGGAGGCTCCGGGAGCCGGGCGGGGAAGATGCCCCTGGCGCAGCTGGCGGACCCTTGGCAGAAGATGGCTGTGGAGAGCACAGCCGAGAGCAGCACCGAGGTACGGGGCGGCCGGAGGTGGTGGTGGGTTTTGTGGGGAAAGTTGCGAGGAGGGGACGGGACCTGGGCTGCCGCTGCTCAAGGGACGGGCAGAGTTTCCCCTCGGGGCGCTGAGCCCCCGGGCCGCTCGGGCGGGCGGCGGGGGTTGAGCGTTGGCGCCTGCCGGCCGGCCGGCCCCTACGCGCCGCTTCCTCTCGGGGCACTGACTGACTCAGGGCCGGGACCGGCCGGGACTCCCCCGCGCCGGGGCTCGGGGCTTGTTTCACGGGACCGGGCTGCTCCCGACTCGCTCCCTCCCCTTCCGCCCCCTTCCCCGGGGGGGAGTAACCTGCTTCTGCGGCGGCGGCCGACTCGGGCGCTTTTGTTCCAGCGCGGTGTCTGGTTACTGTCACGGCGAGTTTCCCTTCCCGGGGCGGCCCCGCCGCCTCCTCAAAGCGCGGCCCCGGAGCGGGGGGGCGGGAGGGCCGGGGCCTGCCCTCACCTTGCCCGGTGCCCTCGCCTTGCCGCCGCTCCCCCTGCGGCGGCCGAGGGCCGTCCCCGCCCGGCTGCCGCTGCCCCCTTATCTAAGCAGGATGGGGTTGTCTCTGCAGTTTCGCAAGCGTTTGGGAAACCGCAGGGACGTTTCGCATGGGTGAAGCTTTATGCTTGGCGGCGTTTATGGGAACATCCCCGAGGTGCCGCGCAGTGTGGTTTCCCGCTGTTGGTAGCGGGGAGTTTGTGTGGTGCTCCTGTCCTTGTTAGGCAGGACGCGTGTCAGCTTTCCTAGGCAGAGATAATGAGAGTGGCTGGAAAGTAGATTCACCGAAGCCGTTGATGCCTTCAGTTATTTTCAGTTTTCCCTACGGTGTACTACTGTGTTGGTTGGAATCTCTGTAAACACTACAGCTACACTGTCAGCTGTGCTTGCTCCGTGATTCCCTAGTAGCCCACAGTGCATGTGCCAGTTTGTGACCAGACTCCCATCTGAAAAGAAATAGCTGCTTCTGACAGTGCAGCTTCTACCTGAACCTGCTCCAGCTGACACGAAGCCAAGCTGCTTCAAGTGATGCTGATCCTGAACGGTATGGACTCAGGCCAGCTCACAACAGTTAGTCGCAAGGTTAGGACTTATTCCTTAGTGAGCAGGGCAAATGGAGAGACCAATGCAAAGTTTCTGCAATATCAGAAGTATTTGTCCTTTTGATGTTTGTCTCGTCTTCCTTCTGCTTAAAGTGACTGCGTCTCTGGGGGTCTGAAGAATGTGCGGTTCTGATATGACAGGCAGATATGTCTTTTAGATTCTTGCCAGTTACTGTAGTTTTAAATTCTTGCCAGTTATTCACTGACTTCTAAAGTGGTGATCTTGGATGATTTTTTTGTTGTTGTTAACGAGGAGTAACTACAATAGTAGTGTGATGCTTGGGGGTCATGGAGAAGGGGGTAGGGGGGATGTTTCTTGCGAGACCACTTAGACTAAAGACTTAGAGAAAAGATTTTAACTATTACTTTAATCTTACATGCTCACTGCCTGTAGTCTATGTAACTTCAATAATGGTACATATGCTGGAAAGGTAGAAAAATTGATTATGTTATTTGAAATGTGTGTATGTGCATGATTATACTTTGTTACTTGTTTTAGTGTATTTCAGATATGATTTATTTTAAACTACTGCCATAAACTTATTTTAAAAATAGTATTTTACCTCGTCATAAAATAATTAGTTGAACACTTACACTGATGTGAGTCTACACAATTCAACACCAAAAAATTTTCTAGGACCACTAACAAAACGTGAAACAGCAACGAACTGGCAGGTTTGCACTTTAAGGCCCTAGTCTAGTATAAACACTCAGTTCTTGAAAAAAACAGACTACCTGTAAAAGCTGCTGACATGACCCTCAAAAAGAAAAGAGTAGACTTAGATAGGTTGCTTACCTGAAATGAGTCTTTAAGAAGAGATGTTTTGGTGAAAATAGGTAAGTTTAAATGAAATACATAAACAAGTGACCTAAATACATAATTTACATTTTCAGTGAGTGTGAGTTGTGCTTGTTTGCAGCACAGCAATAGCCTAATTATAGACCCTATCCTGCAGGAGTGTCCTTGGGAAAAAATTTTTTTTACATCCACCTGGAAACTTGTCACTTCAGTCATAGTTTGATATTATTACTATCTTTAGCTGTAATATACTGACTGATGTAAGGAGTTTCTGCTAACCTCTCAGATTTGCTGACACAGTTCTTGTAACGCCGTGTTATACTCATGGAATATTAAGAAATAATGCAAACAATTTCTTTAAGATAAAATATGGATTTATAGTTTTCAGAGATGAGTTGCAGGACTTCTGTTTCTACAGGTACAAATAGGTCAGTGATTGACATTGCATCTCTGACAGCTTTTTCAATATGTAAAGTTGTTATACTATTTTAGAAATGATTTGTCTATATAGTATAATGCTTGGTTTGGCTTTGGTTTTAGAGTTTCATGTTTTAAATCACAACACCTTTAAAGCCTGTGGAGCGATGCTGTCTTTTATTAACTCAGGGTCTACACAAGATTTATAACAAGCATAGGTTTGTTATTCATGATGAGAATGTGCCTCTTATTTCAAGTCATCTGCTTTCGAGCAAATTAAGTATTGATGATTTTAGTTTGTATTTGACTGCCTGAATAACAAGACTGATCCTTTGATCCGTACTCCCAGCAATGCATATTAATGTTGACTGGAAGAGAAGGAATACAATTATGACAGCCAAATTTTGGACACCAGTACACTGAAAGTGCTGGCTATCATAAGGAGATGCCATTTGCTAGACTTTCTGAGAAGCATTTGTGCCATCTATCTTTAGGAGTTTTAATTTAGGTGCTCTAAATTGGCTGTGGAGAAAGTTCAGTTTTTTCCACTGCTCTTGACAGGGTATTTATGATCACCTATTTAGGTGTCTAAATAGATGGTATAAATCTACTTTCACAGGATTCCTTGTTTTATCTTCTGTATCCAGAATTATTTGAAGCTTGCAGGAGACAATGGCACATTTAATGGTCATGCTGATGCTTTAAAGAATCTGGCTGTGGTTGTGATTGTCTCTTCACATTCTGTACTAGTCTGTGGTGTAATCAGTGTTGTATTTATGTTCCACAGGAACAAAGGCTATATTTACAGTATATATTTCTGGTATAGCGAACACGGGTCAACAATTCAAAGCCTGAGTTGAATCACCTAAATGGACTGGTCTATACAGATTTTGAAGACTGTCGTCTCTCCATGATAGGCAGAATTCTCTGTAGCACTTGGCTATTGCTTCTTATACATACCTGCTGTCAGTACAGCGCATTCTGAAGTCTGGGTTTTTCCCAGATTTGTGGAGTGCCATTTTCTTACACTGGGTTGAAAGTGGCAACTGGCAATTTAATTCTAATCTAAATAAGTAGTATACCTTGTATTCCACAAACTGCTGTGATAGAGAGACAGATAACAGTTGTTATATATATGTAAATACTGTCTTGAGAAACATATCATCTGCATGAAAGATGTTTAGGTGTGTGGGGTTTTTTCCTTCAGCTTTTTCAGTTCCTTAATGATACAATTTTACCTGCTCTGGTTTTTGGTTAACACAGTCCTACTACCTGACATAGTACTGATGTTGTGCTGCCAGCTGGGTGGGGTGGGAGGGGGCAGCCGCTGCTTCATCTTTGTGCGGTAATGTGAGAGCTCCACAGCTCTTGGTTTCCTCAGAGAAGGTGTTGAGGTTGACTTCTTGCATTGTTCCATTAGTTTTCTTGTGACATTGGCAGTTCTTAGATTGTTATTCTTTTGTTCATTATAGTATACGTAATGTTTCTCGCCACACCTGGGACATCTGACACAAAGTAGATGTAAGCAGACTGACATGTTTAAAGGCAGGTCTGTTGTCTTTGAATTGATTGTGATCTGTCACACTAACTGTAGTTGTTTGTCATTTCAAATGCTTGGTTTCCATTCACAATGATATGTAGACTAAGGTGGTTGTTTAATTATGTCTGCACATCCAAAATATTATCTTTATGAGTTGATTGATCTTGGCAGTTGGCATATCTATCAACTTTAAGAACTCACTCAAGATACTGGTTTTGAGTAGTGATTTTTTTGTGTGTTTTGTCTTGGTTTTGTGGGGGGGTTGTGTTTTGTTTTTTCAAATATAATTCATAGTCATTAAACTTTTATGCAGTTTTTCAGGCAAGAGTAAAACCTTGTAATTGTTTTTTCAATCTTGGTGACAGACTTCCACGGCAGGGGATAATTTAATCAGTAAAACTGGATAAGTTAGAATCTCTTCAGGGATTTTTTAAGTTTAGACAAACTGAAATGGTTGATTACTGCAAATACTGTGTTATATGCTTGCGTACATGGTACTGTGCTACTTTTTCTCTCCTTATTCTCTGAAATAAGATTAAATGCCTCACCCATTGGAAATAGAGGGGGAAAAAATCCTGTGTAACAGATGGGAAAATGAAGCTCAACAGCTTAGTGGCCCGGTCTAGCAACATTCGTAGGGTCTGTTCTAGAGCTAGGAGATGAACACGGATTTCTAGGGACCTACTCCAGTGGCTCAACCACAAAGTTACTGCTAGCTCGTTCTTATCAGTAACAGTTACCATATGTTCCCTTTGATGCGAGGAAC